GACAGAGATCATCTCCTTCAGGAGAGCCCATAGCAGGTTTCCTGGCAGCCTTTTCTTTTCTTCTCAGAGCTTTTCTTAACCAATTCCATGCCTGACAGCCTCAAAAAGCTGACCTCCAGCTGCAAGAGCTGCTCCTGTTGTGTGGCACAGTAGAGGACACGCCAGAACCAACAGCCTGGCAACCTTCAGACTCAAACGATCTCTCTCTGTTCCACTTCCTCACGAGCAAAATGAATATAATCACATAGTCAACGAAGTATAATCAATTAAAAATTGTAAACCGCTTTCAAATAACTTATTATGAAACTAATGATCTTTAAAAAGAACTATCATTGGTCTTAGGGTTCTACAAACTACAACTACAGGCCAAATCCAGCCTGCCGCCTGCTTTCAGAAACAAAGATGTGATGGAACACAGCGTCACCCACTTCTTCGTGGATTGTCTGTGGCTTTTCCTGTGCTTCCAGGGCAGTGTTCTGTAGTTGCACCAGAGATCACATGGCCCACAGAGCTGGAAATATTTACTATCTAGCCCTTGACAAAAAGTTTTTCTGACCTATCTTATTAAGAGGTATTTTATTTTCAAGCAAGCCAGGTTTCATTTTTTGTACAAAACATCCATTTGCTTAATATGGTGTATTTCACAACACAGGCCATAAGCTTAACAGAAGACTTTCAATAATAATAATGTTACATTAATAACACACAAGAAATTCATTACAAAAGTTTTCTACTATGTAAATCCATTACTGTGAACAAAAAAGTCCTCAGAATTATTTAAATTTAATTCCTAAGAGAATGATGAGCTCAGAGCTGAGATTTATTTCTGGTGTGTATTTTAGGCGTAAAAAATCAGTATTGCATTATCCCTATTATGTCTCACAGCAACGAGGGCGACAAAGCTGCCTGGAGTTGCCAGTGCCAAACACACTGCGGGAGCTCAAAGATTAATCAAAATGACATCTCCAATTATTTCCCTTCCTAATCAGGCCTAACCATCATGGGACATCCTGCAAATCAATAAGCAAAACTAGATGCCCTCATCACTCCCAACCTGGCAGAGCTGCATTTGTAGAACCAGAAGAGGAGGGCCCTCATCGTGACATAAATACTCCTCTACTTTGGTTGTTTCCCTCTTCCATGAGACGACATGCCCATCTATGACCCTGGCCCTTTGCTGGCATGCACCTGACCATGCCACCTGTCACAGAAAGAAACACCTCTTGTGATTTCAATATAAAACGTGTATGGGGGTAAATGGCTGCACAATATACTTGTACATTCTGCCAAAGAATCTCAGAATTAAGCAAGAATAGGTTGTTAAAAAGTGCTTGTGAAAAACCAAAGTCTTATATCCCATTCTCAACACCTAGAAAAATATGGCACAGGATCTGGCCTATATATGCCCCCCTGCCCCCTCCCTCAACCTTCCACCAGGGCAGGCTTTGGGCACAGTTGAGAGTTACTTACTTTTGGCTCCAAGCCTGTCTCCCTGCCTTTTCTCTCCAGGCCCATTTCCCCCCAGTCCTTATCCCACTGACATCTCCTATTTTTCTCTCTATGAGCTCTGGAGTTTCACTGGTGCTGAAAGATCTGATAAATGCCTTAGTGTCAATTTAGCCCTTCTTCATGTATTTAGAAGAGGCAGAGTGCTGAAGAAATGAAGCAAAGCATAAGTCTGTTCATATGTGGAACTAATTTTGAAACTTTTAGCAAAGGACTCAGAAAAAAATGTCCAGAGTAGAAAACACACAGACTTACACCTGAGGAGGTGAAATATGCTGTGAACTTCAGAAACTCTAGGGGAGACTTGGAGGAGAAAGCTGAGAACATACCTACACTTGAGCAGCCATGATCTAAGAGCCACTGTGACTGGCCAATGTTAAGATGAACTCATTTGTACTCCATCTACTGAGGCCCAAGAACATGTGGATTATTTAGTTCGTTCGTTCATTCATTCATTCACTCATGTGTCAGGCACATCAGTGAACAAACACATTCTATGCCTTCATAGACCCCTTTTCAGACTAACTGTTTTGGTCTTTGCTCTTGTTTTTTCCCCCTAACTTTATGAAACTATAAATGGAAAAGCTTCCTGCTTATAGGTCTTTCCACCTACGGAAGAGGATGAAATAGAAATCATGTACAATAAACATGATGAAAGTATCTTAGCTAGCTGAAATCCAGCTTGGGAACAAAAAATAGATCATTAAATTTTAACTGAAATTGGAATTTCAGAGTTTAAAGGGAGCCAAAACCAAGCTAATACTAGACACAAGACTAAAAGGAATAACATAAACTTATTTAAAAGGAAGGAATGTGCTGAGGAAAGTTAGGCTGCCAGCCACCTCCGAGGAGAGCTGTGGGGCTTGGACGAGATCATGCATGAGAGGGCACTTTGAAAATGGAAGAGGCCCATTGCAGATGTGAAAGCATTGATGCAATTATTCATAACATTGTTACAAATCATGAGCTCTATCTTCAGTTGGATCATTGTTGTTCATAAACAGCTTCCCTGTCTCATTTGGAACAAATATTCTATAAGTTAATATGGTACACTAATTAACTATTAATATTAAATAATGCACACTAAATGTGTGCATAGTACATGTGATTTGCTATACCAATTCTAAAACAAACTTTTTAATAGAAAACAATACAAATAACCAACTGCAGGAGATTCCTTAGTTATCATATGATGCATCTGTAATGACCACTATGCTGGTTATTGCCCATTTGACCATTTCCTCCACCCTTTCCTTGCCCTCTTGTCCTGCTCCGTGCCCCTGGCTGATGCCAAGAACTCAATACCCTTCTCCTCTGCCTTCCAGATGAACTCAGCTCATAAACACAACTGCAGAAGGAGAGAGAAGAAAATTTCTTTCAACTCTCTGTCTCAGTCCTGCATCTCTGATGGGAGCTATTGCCCTTCCATTACTTCAGGGAGTGACTACTCCTCCCCCACTTCAGCTCACACTGGGTTCCAGTAATACTATTTGCTCCTCTTGCCACTTTAGCCCTAGAGGTGGTAAGACTGCCAGGGTCTGTGTGATGGGGGCTTTACTCTCCATCCCTTGTCTGTTCCCTAATCCCCACCCACACCCGATAATAGTCCTTTCATTAAAGTCTCTTCCTTTGACCCACCTGCGTTGAATTCAGTTTCCCAGTAGGAGCATGGCTGAAACACAATACAGATATCTTTTTATTGATATAGAAAGAAGTCTGACAGAAAGAAGATCAAAATATTAATAGCAGTTACCTTTAGGCAGTGAGATATGATTTTGGGTTTTTTTTAATGTTTCTCTGTATCTTTCAAATGTTCTACAATATTTGATTATGTATTTCAGGAGTATAAAGAGAAATAATAAAATTAAAATGCAATATGGTAATAAATATGGTCTCAAGAAATACTAGTGGTTTGGCTTTCCTCCTTTACTGCCCACCCTTCAAAACACAAGTTTAAAAAAAGTTGCATGGCCTAAAAAGTACCATGATGGAGCAGCAGAACCCTGAACACTTGTGAGTGCCTGAGTATCTCTGTATTCTTGCTGAATTCTATTTTCTACAAAGAATGTTTGATTAGCAAGAATTCACAATTAAAAACAATGCAACTGCTCGTATTTATAAGTGCATGTGTTTTATGGACTCAGATTTCACAAGTGGTCCAGTCTGCCATATTCTTTGATGATAATGACAATAATAAAAGTAATAATATTTAACCATCACTAAGGGCTTGGCAGCACCTATAGGCACTGTTATAAGCATTGCAGGTATTAGTTCATTTAATCCTAAAAGGAAAGCAGTACTATTACTCCCATTACACAGATGGGGAAATTGACTCGTGGAGAAGCCCAGCAATTTGCCCAAGGTCCTATAGCCCGTCTGTTATCAGGCCTCGTAGGCAAGCCCAGCGTTTAGAGCCTATTTTACCCATTATACTTGACTGTCACTCAGGCTGATAGATTACTTAAGAATTCTAAAACTCTCCTAATTTCGTGTATATCATGCACAGGGCCCTCATATTGGTTGCACATTTACAAGTCAGAGCTATAAATTCCTCATCAAACAAATGGAAAATAAGACCTTTCCCTCCTATCCTAGAGGTTATGACAATCTAATGGGAAACAAGCATGAAATCCTGTCAAAGCTATAAAGCAAGGTACATCTGTAAGGCAGATTATGTTGTACCTGCTATACGCTGGTATATTAGCCATCATCATTAACACACAAAAGTTGAATGTAAAGAAAGTAGCAAATATTTTGGTGAAGTATGGCTCTAAACTATGATATAGTAAACTATCCAGTCTGTTAATAACACCCAACATAAAATCACCACTGATTAATCAATAAAAGCCATGCAATGGTTTCAGTAAAATGTACTCTCCAGAGCACTTCCCTGACTCACGTTCATTAATTACTTCATCTTATTTGATATGTTCCCAGCATTTGCCTGAACTGTGCTACTCTCACGTTATATAACAAAACTTTCTTTAAAACTTCAAGGTCCAAACTAGACATTTGCTATGACATCAAAAGTTCAATTGAACCACTCAATTTTCAGTTCCCCTGGCTCAACTTTTTGGAGTTTTGTAATTAATTATATTCCATTATAACTGGTTATCAATTAACTCAAAATGTTGCTGAGATGGTGAGCATGCTGAAGAAGGCAGAATTTAATGATAATTTGAGACTAGGAGGACACTAAATTTCTTTCTTGTTAATAATTAAAGGAGATAACTTATGTTTTTATTTATAGCTTCCAGATATATCCGGCTCATTCCTGTGCACTGCCCTGTCAGCTAATCATCAGTTGGTCAGGATCTGACGTGGGCCTTTCTGTTTTATTTTCCACATCAGCCCTCAACTGAAGCCATTAAATGCAGCCCAACCAAAAGTTGAAGCAAGTGAGGTCATCTGCAAGTGGCTGGAATTTTCCACTTAGCCAACCATTTCGATGCATAAATATATAAAGTATAAAAAAGGGTAAATTTTCAGCTTACCTGTTTCAGTCTCCCAGATGTAAACAGACTCATCTGCACACCCAACTATTAAAAAATTCTCAACAGGGTGCCATCTTATTATCCTCACGGGGAAAAGGTGCTTCCGGGCACAAAAGAGAAACCTCTTCTCCTCAAGGTGAAGGAGAGCCACTGAATGGTCACCACACACACAGAAAATTACCTGGTTACTTCTGAGCTGTGGGAAAGACAAACAGTATTCTTTGTAAGTAAATAGTTGAATGCTTTCTTTAAAATTAAATCAGATGATTTCCCCCTACTAATATAAAATGTTTATTAAAGCCTCGTTTATAAAGTGGCATTTCCACTTTCTACAGCACATCTCCGCACAGCACTCTAGAGAGGAGCTTTCAACACCAAGTAGATTCTAAACCCAGCAACCCATGAGGAAGGTTAAGAGATTCAAGTAAAAAGGAGAATTCCAGGCCAGACCTACTTACAAGATAAATGATGGACTTGACCATCACTCAGCAAAGTCAGGCAGTGAGGCAGACATTGGAAATAATGCAGAATAAAATAAACCCCAGAATTAATTTGTTGCCACAAAAAAGCTATTTGTAGACACAAGCTTAGGCCCAAGGGTATCATCAGCTGGTATTTTCCACTTAAAGCCTCAAAATGTGATTTGGTGCTGTTCCCAGAACTCTACAGATTCTAATCCAAACAGGAAACTCAGTGTAGACACAATCTAAAAGAGGGAAGCACTAGATAGTTCCCAATGAATGTTCAGGCTCAAAGACACAAGGTCCGAAAATAGGCTCATAGGACAAGACTCAAAAGATACTTTGAAAAAAATCAGTATGTGGTTACCTTGAACACAGTCTAGGACAAAGACCATCCATGCTGGGTGCTGCAGAGGCTAATCTGGGAAAGGTTTATAAGGCAGCTCTGTGCAACAGCTCGTAGATACAATGGGGGTGGGGTAGGGCAGGGGAGCACATAGTGGCTCTTCTACCTTCTCTCTTTCTTTTCTAATCACCTTGGTATAGGGATGCTCCCACTTTCACAAAGCAACTAGAGTTTCAGCTGTTATGAATAAAGCATCAGTTAGGACCCCTAGGGAATCTCCCAGTGCCCATCATTAGCCATATTCTGTGGGGCATTAAGGAGCATGTTATTTTTCTTAATTATTTTTAAGTAGACTACAGAAATCCTGAAGAAAAAAATCACAAAATGGCAGGTGAATAGATGGGGAAAGCCTGGACTTGTAGAATGGGGAAGATGGTGCTGCCTTCTCAATGTTACCTCTTGTAGAAACTGCTCAACCCACAGTCTCTAGAATGGATAGCCCAATGTGCTTCAAGGGACTTACAACACACACGTGAACACACATATAACACATGAACGCAGACCTTCTGGCCATCAGTAGATACACTAGAGACCCACACAAGGAAAATTGGAACCTTTTTTGTAGGTATTTAAGTTGTAAAGGTAAATTAAGTCATAGGCAGAAGGAAAAGACAAATCATAGAAAACAGAATTTTGGGGTAGGAAGGCTTGAGAGTTATCTTGATTTCTGTATTTGAGTTCAAGCTCCACTGGGTCCTTGCTATAGTGTTTTATATTGGATGTATAAAAAGGTCTCTTATGCCCTTTCAAAAGCCTCCCTTTTTGATCTGACTTGGTGTGAATAGGTCTTGTTCCTTAGAGTTAAATTGTCTATGATTGAGGCAGAAGTAAAAGGGATTGGGAGTGAAACAGACTGGCACTACCACCCTGGAGCTGAGAGAAAAAAAGACAAAGGAGGGCAACCTCAGGAATAAAAGACACATCAAGGTATCCCAAATCAGCCCATGAAAGTTTTGTTTTTTTTTAAGTCAGTGATATTTATTTCACTAATTAAGTTGTTTGTATTGCTGATACATTGTTTTATTTGGGTCTTCCTACAAAAACACAGTCTAAGTTGTGTCTAAGCTTACTTTAGAGCTAATTTTTTAAATAATATTACTATGGAGAAATACTTTTAACAAACCAGTCAACTAACTTACAAACTTAAAAAAGTTGTTGTTAATATTCTAACACATATAAGATCTATGAAATTTAAGTTTACATTGCATAAGAAATTTATATATGAAAGTATTTCCTTTTGCCTAGCACAAAGTAGGTGCTCATAAATTTGTTAAAGCTTGTATTTGTTAAATAAATAAAAGAACAAACAAAAATCTATTTAAGAAAAATAAAATGTAACTATCAATATTATTATTGAATTGTTGAAGGCAAAAGTTAATTTCTAATTTGTAAATTTGTAAATATTTGAATTGTTTTTAAATTGAGAATAATTACTTTTATAATTTTATTAAGAAAGAAAAAATAATTCCATTAAAAATTAAGATACAGAACTAGGAGAAAAAAGAAAAGAATATAAATACTTTAGGAGAACTAACTGGCTTATGTACAGCCAAGAACTGACAAAACCTTTCCTTTAGAACCAAATTATTTATATTAGCTGTGAAATAAAATGCATATTAAAAGATTAGAGAGGAATGCATAAAGCCATCTAGTTGTAATGTTAAATAACTTTTAAATTTATGTGATCCATTTTACTCTTAACTTACCCTGATGTTCTCTGGTGACATCAAAAGACTTGTTACTGGACCAGCTTCCAAAAAGAATTTATGCAAAATATTTTCAGTAAAGATATCCCACATGATGACACATGAGTCCTGGTCCCCAGACACCAGCCAACTTTGGTCTAATTTTGAGGAGAGACCATGTGGATAAAGTAATGAAATAACACTTTGGTGGTGGCCTTTAAGAACTTTGTAAGGAATGGAATCTGAAAAACAACCAATACCAAATAATATAAAAGTTATTTTTGTTCAAAAGATAGTCCTGAGACAGCCTATAAATTTTTAAGGTAAGAAAACTACAAAAGTTAGGCAGTTGGCTAACAAATTAGTAAACAACCCTTGGACCATCTCAAAGGCAAGTGCCTCCTCATAAGCCAGATCATTACTGACGAAGCACTCATGCTGGCTGGTCAAAATGTGCTAGTTCTTTTAAGGATGTTAGCAAGTTGCCAATAAAGTTGTACTATTGGCAACTTTACTAAAGTTGTACTATTGGCAAGTTGTACTATTTCATGGTACCATGAAATAGCAAATGCTATTCTAAAAGAACAAACGATTTCAAACATTTGTCTCTACAAAGAAACCTTAGAACATTACTGCTGTACTTTAAATTAGCATGACCAAGATTGTAAAAGAAAAGCAAAGTTTCACAGAGTATTTTTGCTTTCAAAGATATTAGAAATCACCTACTTCCACCTCTTTGTTCCACAGATAAAGTATTTGAGGCTCAGAGGGGTTAAGTGACTTGAATCCCAGTGAAAAAGCACAGCATAATGTTTAAGAGCATAGGGTTGCTGTTAAACGGATCTGGTTTTATTTCCCTGGGTCCATCACTCAACAGACTGTGTCACCATGGACAAGTAGCTTTATTCCCCTAAGCCACAGGTGCTGCCCCTGAAAACAGTGAGATGATTATCACTTTTACTTCACACAAGACTGTAGTTGTGTGGAATAAGTAAGATAAGGTCCATTATTTCTTTGTGCTGGCACGTGGTAGGAAATGGTATTTTGTACCATAGTTGAACTGTAACTTGGGGCTACTGACACCCAGTTTCCACACTGTTTCTCTTTTCATTAGCCAGGTCTAAAATGTTGGAAAGGACCACAGACCACAAACTCTCTCCACTCAGATTAAAAATGAGTCCCAAAGAGTCATTACTACTTCTATTAAAGAATCATAAGTTACTTCTATTTTATCAGGTATACCCTCCCTTTATATCCCCTGAGCAAACCAAGATAAATAGTAATTCATATTAAAAGGTAGTGAAAATTGCCCTGGCTGGCGTAGCTCAGCGGATTGAGCACGGGCTGTGAACCAAAGTGCCGCAGGTTCAGTTCCCAGTCAGGGCACATGCCTGGGTTGCAGGCCACGGCCTCCAGCAACTGCACATTGATGTTTCTCTTTCTCTCTCTTTCTCCCTCCCTTCCCTGTCTAAAAATAAATAAATAAAATCTTAAAAAAAAGTTAGTGAAAATAAAAACTACAAGTCAAGTGTAGGCCTCTGCTTGTTTTCTGGATAAGACAAATCATCCCTGGTAAAAAAAATCCTAAAGTCTTAAGCTTTTGCACTAACTTTTACCAGCAGTCATTGAGCTGTGTAGCAGTATATTACTTCTCCTCAGTTCATTGCTATTCACCCAGCTATTCTGGTCAATCACTGAATCACAAGTTAATAACACTTAGTAAGAGCCAAAGTATGCTGAGAACAATAGGAGGCAAGGTAAGATGTTGTTTGTTTGTTTGTTTGTTTGTTGAGATTTGGTTTTTACTGTTAAGGATATTGCAGTCAAGTAGGTTCTGTACAATAAAAAATAGGACAAAAATTTATCTACATATCTCCAAATCAGTCACCTCCTACATTTTCCCTTCCTTTGCATAAGACAATTTACTACATAAATTGCTATTGCAGTGCACAAAGATATTTATATTTCATTAACAAAGAAATGAAAATTAAACAGGAAGATACCTTCTTCTACTGATTGGCAAATATTAAAATGTTTAATAGCACATAAAGTTGACTAGAGTTTGGGAAGCAAGGCATTTGCATAGGCTGTTAGTAGACACACAGGAAAATCAAGGAAGGGGAGAAACATACTTCTCATTGTATAACCTTCTGTTTGATTTTTTAACCATATTTTAATTTTTTTACTTAAAAACAAGTTATACTTGTTTTATGTTAAAGCAAGTATAATTTATTAGCAAATACCAGCAATTTTTAAGCCTCAGAAATATTCTTATATACCTTGTTAAAGTTGAAACTTAGATGAATTAAATAGGGTTAAACAAAGTTCAATCACCTTTTAACAAAGAGCCGCCCTCTAGAAGTCCTGCTTTGGCAGCATTCAAAGCCTGTGTAATGAAAATCGTCCCATCTTCGCAGCCACACACTAGTTTATCAAGACTTGGAACATACTCTGATGAAGTGACTACCGCAGCTCCAGCTCCGTCTTTAAACCCAGAGAAGTAGTCGATAATACTTTGTGACATAATATGATGCTTATCAAAATTATCTTGAAGGGTCCAGGTGGTAGTTATTGGTATCTCTGAAGTGAAGACAAACAAAGATGAAAAAATGGTTTATACAGTCACTATAAATGTGGAAAATATTATCAAGGCACCATCCGTGGAGGATACCTAGAGACTTTTGCCATCCTAATAGTGGGCTATAGGCAGAAAAGTTCTCCTATCATCCGCCATCCTCACTCAAAAATGAAACTTCATTGGTTCTCCATCCTTCAAGGAGCCTTGAAAGAATCAATGTGTATTCATGCATTCATTTTAGACTTAGGTCAACTGACAAGATCTGAGAAACTCTTGCAGTGATGTAAAATGTTAGACCACTCTCATGAGTTCTCTGCTTGCCTTAGCAATGTTAAGAAGGTAAACTGGGTTCTTTTATCGTCTGAGGTAAAATGGAAGAAATTTATTCTTTAAATGTCAAGGACAGGAATATCTCAGAATCATACCACAACCCTAGGCAACTATCTATGGTTACCAAACGCACTGGTTACCATTTTATATAGCTGACCACCCAAGCATTTGAACTGGGCCTCAGAGGATCAGCTCATGAAGTGAGAAAGGCTTGGCTCCAGGAGCATAGAAGGCAAAGTAAAGCTAACCGACCTCTCTATGAAAGGGCCTCCTTGACCTTACAGTACACCTGCTACAGTGACTATGAAAACCATGACTCCAAAAGCTTTGACTAGCAGGAGTGGTCATGAATGTCTCTGGTTCTAATTATAAAGAAGATTGACTAGACATTTAATCTTGCTACTGTAACAAGAATAGATATGAGAAAATTCTACAGTCACCAACCATTGAGCGGCTTTGCAGTGGGCATGGTATACTTTTTTTAACTCTTAAGACTGACTTGTAAGAGAATTTTCCACATACTACACCAAACTCTAAGTCTATTTCTTGACCAATTTCTTATCAATCTAGGTCTAAATGAACCATTTTGAAAACATTTTGGACAAGGACACTAAAAGAGCTACCAGTGAAATGACTTTCTAATGGAAACTTGAGCTTAGTATAAAGAACCCTGATCCTGCTGTGCCCCACACTATGGTTCACAGAGATGACACGCTGATTTTGGAATAAGGGGAAATGAGTGAGATGGGGTTCCCCAGTCTAGAATACATACTCTCAGAAGTTTGAAAGTTTTCCACAACAATGTTTACTTTGATGATTTCAGTTTTTTATTCTAAGAAAAATTAAAATAAGCAAAAGCTAAATCATCTAATCATTCAAATTGCCAAATGTTTCAGTGCCCAAGTTTACCATATTTTGCCATGTATAATGCAAACTTTTTTACCCACATTTTTTAGGGAAAAATAAGGGTGCACGTTATTCATGGGTAGTACCTGAAACACCTTGTATCTGTTCTTATGTTTTGCAATTATTTGTTACATAAAGTTTCTTGTACCATATGTTCAATAATAAATGCAAAATTCCTTTATAATACAAAAACAAGTATCTAGTTATAGATAAATAAAAAATTGAATTAAAAATTAAAACAAAAGATTTTCTTCCTGAAAGTTTGGGCCAAAAATATAGGTGCACATTATACACAGCAAAATACAGTATATCTGTGATTGGTGTTCCAAGCAGCTGTGATAATCCCAACAAATTGGTAGAAAAATGGTATAGTATATGGACATGACAAAATCAAAAATTTGTATATGATGTGTCAGCCTACCCTATATTGTTATTGCTAACATTCATTTTACTTCAATAAAACATCACTCATGTTAAATTAATGTTATTTTGTATTATATTGGTTGTATTGTTGTATAAGATCTATAAGCAATTTATGTTGGTATCTAATGCATAGTAGTACACGAGGAACTTTTTCTTCATTGTAGCCCATATGACTCAACTTAGAAAAACATGGATTTAATTATAAACTAATTCTCAGGACACATGGGATTATCAATGAAGACCATCTTACCTCTAGGAGAGCCATCAAACTTGGATACAGGAACATCTGGTATGTGCCACAGAGTAATTCTGCCTGATACTTCTCCGGAGAAAAGTACCTTATAAAAAGGCTCTTTCCTTTCATTCATATAGCCCATAACAAAGGGAAGGCTCTGGTTTGAAACAAAGAATTAGTTTTTATGGAGGAAAATATCTAATTTTAAAATGATAGTTATTGTTTTTAAGGGGAGAAACAAAACTTCATAGATGAACTAAATTGTTTCCATTTATCTCCCACTGTTTAAAAATTTTCAAGTTCTTATAATCTCTTATTCAAACAAAAAAGTTTTGTATAAAAGAAAAAGAAATGTCATTAACTAGACTCCAGAGAGTTCACAAGGATATCTAACATTCATTGAACATGTTCTGTGTATATCTCACCTACACTGTCAGGGACTCTGCATGTATTCAGTTGAGTAATCCACACAACAACCCTGTGAAGTGAGTGCTATCTCTGTCTTCACTCTACAGATGCCTACACTGCCAGAGAAGGATCTGACTGATCTAAGGCGATGCACACTGTAGCCTGTAGTGGTCCGGAGTCCAGAAGTTCTGACTCAAGAGCACTTGTCATAATAACTACGCTACTGTCAAGAGGACCTGATTTCTTTATGTTCCAATTGTCAGTTGAAATAGCAACAACTGATATCTGGATGGTACTTTTGTATACTTAATAGAGTACTTTCCACTTTCTGTTGACCATTTTTCAGATTCAACATACTTGATTTCAAATTTCCTAAGTGTCCACAAAGAAAAATTAAAGTGAGCCCATAAATTGTTAAAATATGTATTATTATATGTTATTACTATAAATAAATATACATCATATGTTATAGAGTTGTAGTCTATGTTATTGCTATGTGTTGAGAGAGATAGAGTTCTAAGTTCGCTGAGGCAGAGTGTGAGTATCGGACACCAGTGCTCTGAGAGATGTGCTTTCACCAGTGAATGAGGCTAGGCTCTCCCAGTGCCTCAGCATGGCAGAGATGTGTTCTTCAGGTAGAGTGTATGTGGAGATGATGCACAAGGGATCAAAATGACTAAGTGATTAGAAAAACAAAAACTACTTTTGATTTATAAATAAAAGGGACACTTAAAAAAAAGCCAACTGCTGGTGCTAGACTTAAAGATGTCTAAGAAAGCTTTATTGATATGATCACTTCATAAATTATATACATGTCTAACCACTATGCTGTACACCTGGAAGTAATATAATACTGAATGTCAACTGTAATTAAAATTTTTAAATAAAAAACTAAGTGTAAGAAAGTGACAGTTTCTAGTCAGAAAATACATGTTTGAAAGCCTAAACTTAGATATATTATGGGAAAATTTTTATAATATATCTTTAGAGAATATTAAGGGCCAAATACTGCTACATTTAATACTCATAACAAAGCTACAAAATAAGTAAATATTGTTATTATTCCTATTATGTAGATATGAAAACTAAAATAGAAAGAAAATAAGAAACTAATTCAAGACAATTCAGATAAGATATGTAATCCTCTACAGTCCCAAGAGATGAGAACATTGCAGAAGAGAAAACAGTTCCTACAAAGTCAGTTCTCTGAATAAATTTTGTTTTGTTTTGTTTTTTTAGGATTCAGATGGCAATTTGGGATCTTAGAGTTCTCATAGCCCTCATCATTGTTGGTGTTAGAATGGTGTTGATAAAATGGTTTCTCAAACTCTCTCAGCCTTTAGGAACCTTAAAATCGACTAGTCCAACTCCTTCAAGGTTTTGATGAGAAATGAAGCTCCGGAGAGGCTGGTGCGTTGCTCGAGTTGGTGGCAGCACAGCTCTCTCCTTCCAGCTCCGTGTTACCCCTGCAGCCCACGCTCCCCCTGCGGCTCTGGTCCCCTCTGCCCTCAGCTCCTGCCCTGCCAGTCCTCACTTGCTCACACGCTCCCCTTGACACCTTGATCATCTCCTTGCCAGTAGTTCCCTTTCTAGTCTGCAAGTCACCTAAAAACCTTCTCAGAATCTCTTCCCATATGCATTCTCATTGTTTATCCTAAGAACTAGTCCCATCCTCCAAGATGTAATAAAATAGTCCTTAAGAGTGAATTTTCTTGGGCTAGCTGCTTGGATTCAGATACTGGTTTTAGCACATAAACCCTATTAAAGGAGCTGATTGCCTGATTTAGACAACGTACTTAACTTCTTTATGTTTCATGGAGGCTGATAAAGGCACCTACTATGTGGGATTTCTGTCTGGACTGAGTTGATAAGGTAAGGTACTTAGAATGGTGCCAGGCACTTGGTAGGTACTCAATGAATACTAACAATTCTCATTATCCACTTTCAGAACAACTGAAAAACTCACTCCAAAGACCCATTACCAGACTCTCAGGCCAAACTGCCTGAGTTCAAATCCTGGGAATGAACCTCTCTGAACATGGTGAGAACTGATATAAATTAAGCAGTGTGTATGTTTGACAATAATGAGAACTAGCATCATTATCGCTGTCAATACTCTTAGTTCATGCACTTGCATTTCTTACTTGCAATCCCTTGGTTGTTTCTATTGCTGTTACCCACCCCCCCACTGCACCTTAGCAACATAGTCTTACTCCTCAGCTAAGACCCTGGGAAGCCCAGCTCCTCATCCTCACAGCCAGGAGCCCTGTCACAGGCCTCATCAGCTATGGCTTGAAACTAGGAAGAATCATAAAGCTACTGAAAGGAAGAGCGAGTCCCCATTCTTGCTACTACAACTCCATCTGCAGATATGTCCTCTGCGTCACAAATGGTAACCCTGAGAGCATCTTACTATCAAACCTTGAAATTTAATTCTATGATTATTACCTCAAAAACAAACCTAAAAAACCAGTCCAGTCAATACTGCATGTTTACACAGCACCCTTTCCTAGGCTCACCATCTCCCCACACCACCAAAATGCCTCCATTACCTTCCAACTGCAAAGAGTGACTAAAAAATCTAATAATTAGTGAATAGCGGCGACATTTTGAATAATGAGAATAATATTCGACTTTCTTTTCTTGGCTGGATAAAAGGCAAAGGGTCTAAGACTAGGTATAGAATGTTCTTTCAGTTTCAGATTATTCCATTTGTATTGCTAGCTTCTAAGCACTTCCTACTTGTAAAATATAGAAATGGGGGTAAATGGTAATGAAAAAGTACAATAAAGTAAATTTAAAAAATACATTGCTTGTGGATTAAAAAAAATAAAATAAAATACAGAAATGTCAGTGGTTGTCTAAACAAAAATTAGTGACAGAAAACCCATAAATCTTTTTCTTTACCTTTTAAAGCAAAGCAAGGTAGCTTCCCATAATATTAGTATTTTTAAGATATTACTTTTCTTTTTCTTCATAGTTATGTATAGTGTTGATATTTGCAGTAGACTAGAAGTTCTTACAGCACACTACTTATATTTAGCTTTTAGGGGAAAGTGTGCTTTATAAAAATGCATTCTGGAGGTAAAAAGAGAAAAGAGAAAATCCTTCCAAAATAACTAAAAACGCCTTTTTGAATAAGCCACAATCCTGCTTTTGTGATCAACAGCAACATGAAGCTCTAGCTGCCCACAGAGGACTTGAGAAACACTGTTGAATGCCATAATTCTTAAGTGTGCCTATACCCCAGTGGTACTTGCAGCTCTAATTTTTGGCTGACAGCTTCTTAACTCTTTGCAACAAAACCTCACAGATATGTTAGCAGAACAATCACTGAACTATAGGATTTCCAACAGCTATGCTGTCTAATGAAGCAAACCATCACTCAGTAAAAATTAACATGCTTCCTTGGTTGGTACATCAATAATTCAAAATTCCTTCATTCTCTACAACATACCTTTTGGATAATTAACTGATGACTAAGTCCAATAGGTTAAAAAAACACTGTGTTTAACACTATTGTAATGAAATAACTGCTTAAGTTCTCAGGCTTCATAGAGTGTCAGAGACATAATTCATCCAAGGAAAAGCTTACAGTTACACTCTCAATTTTCTTCCAGGAATCATAATTATATTTGCTTTAACAAGAAAATATATTCAGAAGAAGAGCTAAAAATGTGAAAATGATCCCAATATTAAAAAATTAAAGAAGACATAAACTATTTGATAAAGTTAAAAACCAGAGTAGATACATCAAAATGTTAATGTTGTATCAAAGCACTGATCAAAAAGGTCACTGAAAAATGTGTGTGTGTATGTGTGTGTGTACAGAGAGATTAAATATGACAAAATCTTGACAATTGGTGGATATAGGTAAAAGATATATGAGTGATGATTGTACTAATCTTTCAACTTCTCAAATATTTTTTAAAAGCCTTCAATTAAAATAAGCAGATGCACAATTAAAATATTTGCAGTGAATATCTATAGTGGTCAAGTTGAAACTCTAATTCCCCCCCTTTTTTAAACATTTATAATTTTTCTATAATAAACAGGTACTATTTAATCTGACTTGAAAAAAATAGTTTTTTTTAAAGGCAGTTTTCTCTTTAGTGGCCATGAACAGTTAGATTTGATTTTCTCATTAACAACTTGATGTCATTCTTCAATTCAATTTTTTCAGTCCGGACTCTGCTACAGACAAAGCAGCACCTCTGAGACACGGAGTGAAACAGCACTGAGGCAGCCCCTCTTTTCTGGCATTACCTTACTTTCCTGCACAGAAGCAGAGCACAGTAAGTGAGGATAAATGGTCTCTTTAAGCACTCTTCCATCAGCAGGGTATGTGCTTTTTGAAAGCCCACTGCATGGCAAAAAAATAAATAGCAAAGTTTAGAACTTTGGGTTTCTTTATTTGTTTTTTTTTCCTTCCCACTTTCAAAAGCCTGACGCTACCATTCAAGTTTCTAAACTCTAGTTAGAAATTGTTGGGTTAATAATTACAAGTGACTTTTTGAAAACCCAGCACCAGCTGTACAAGTTATACATGGTTAATCTCATTCCTTCATCCCCCGCTGTTTCATACAAAGGCGGAAGCCTACCAAGCTCAGAGTAAATCTTCCAGTGCCAAAGTTGTTTTGTTCTGGTGTTTGATCATGGGCAGCATGCAGGGATTTTTCCATAATAAACCTCCCAAAGTTCATTTCCAACCTGAATGTTTTGTATGCTGCTCCCATCTGAGCCCACCTGTTCAGCAGCTGATAGATGTAACTGTGACCGTCTTCTGTCCAGATGATGATTCTGTGAGCAGCCAGCACCTCTCCACCAGCAAAGAACTGCCCAGTTCTACTGACCTCCATCCGCAGAAGGGAAAAATCACAGTAATCATAAACCTAAAGCACAAAATAAATGATACACATTAACAAAAGCTGCCGATCTAATTTGCCACTGAGATGGAAGATAAATTGTGCTCACCAAGACTATTTAGATGGTGGTGTTAATGCAACAGCACATTAAGTATTAATGACAGCCCACACTGGATTCATGTATCAAGATATCCTACTAGTACTTATTTTTTCTTATTTATCCTAAGGTAGGTTTCAGTAGATTAACTATTTGGCTAGTATGTCCATTAAGCACAGAGACTAGAAATCCCTAAATCTCTATACAATTTTATTCTGTCCATATGGATAGTCCAACTTAAACATTTGAAAATTTATTGCACAAACAGTTTAAATAGTCTAAATCCTTTGCTAGACCATATACTTAGTGTTTTTTGTTTAAAATATATCAGCATATAAGTAAGACAATATAATGTTATTAACTGAGCCAGGTATATGAAACATTAAAGGATGCTATCATGTGATGGTAACTTAACTTTTTAAAAAAATCTTCTTGGAAATATCAGTAAGTATATTTATGAGAAAGAAATGTATATTTCCTAAAAAACAAGTGTTGTGACAAAGCAGAAAAAGAAAAAATATCCATAAATAAGACCAATTTATGTAGGTGAAAAGTACTAGTTTTTTTTTTAATTCAGGACAAACATCAACTTTTGGAAATAATCTAGAGATAAATGCTAATTATTAATATGGTCATTATTAATAATATGAGCATTTTCTATTATAAATATAATCTCCTGAAAAGCAAAACAGCTCAATGTGAGGAGTGGAAAATTAATAAAAGTCAGTCATAAAAGCCAGGTCATCCATGCTCTGGTAATAATATTATATAGAGTTTGTATCACATTTTAAATCATATTCTTATAACTGTTGCACTAAACAAGAAAAATTTAAAAATTATATTTGTATATTACTGCTATTTGTTAGATTATTTTATAATACCTTCCAACACCTAGAAAATACCACCAATAGAAGTCGCTCCGTGTATGTGCAAAATCGTATTGTCCGGCAGTTCAGGGAGTCAAGAAATTTGGATTCCTTTTCATAGACATCTTGCTTTTCCTTCAAAAGGAACGAAAACATTTTAGTACTAGTTCCAGGTAATTTATACGTGACAGTATCAGAAGATCTGCTTCTCTGAACACCTGAAGTAGATCACACCATTATTATAAAATGAAAAGTACCCCAGTTTCCTTTATAATTTTTTGAACTAAGAAGTAACTTTGCAAAAGACACCATTAGCAGGAAACCCACTTGGACTCAAGGATTCGTTATGTAAATACAATCATTCAGCAAACATCCTGTGGGAGGGGAGGGTGGGTGCTGAGAGTGTAAGTTACTGACATTTAGACTTGGCAGAAAGACATACCGAAAAAAAGAAAGAAAGAAAAATAATTTTAAAAAAACCCTGCAGTCTCTTAATTGCTATAATAGAAAATACACAAAGTGCTTTGAAAAAGTAGAAGAGTGGCCAGCATAGAATATTGTCAACCAGTTTCTGAAAATGCTGGGGGTGTGTTTCTTGGGTTCATTATGTCAATGCAATTTCTGAGCTTCCTCAACCAAGATGTTCCTAAGGAGAGCCTAGAGCACAATGGGGCAGCCAAAACGATTTGTTACCAGCACAACAAATACTATGTTCTTTTGTCTATCACCTCAACCTGTAGCCTAAAGCCAGCAGCAGGAGAATATACTGGACTCCCAGTGTATGTGACCTCCAGCTGTTCATAGTCATCTCCCAGCCACTGCTCACACACACCCAGAAAAAAGAGGGTCTTCTGCTGTAAGGGACAAACGATATCTATCTACAATTTTTATTGTTAATTAAAATGTAATCAGTGTGTGTAGATAAGAAGAGTTGTACATAAATGGAGAAAAGGATGAAGAACACAATCTAGCTGTTACCAGTGCTCACCCCTGGCACCGGGAGCAGGAACAGGGATGGGGGAAGTGCATGAGGGCGTACACATACTCGTCTATGTTATTTGAACTTCTAAAATAAGCATGTACTATCCCTGTAAGTGTAAAACACTTTCAATAAATATGGAGGGAAAAAAGGAGTTTCACAAGCTAACCTGAATGCTGTTGATAGATGAAGAGAGGTCCCACACTTTGAGCTCACCAGCCACTGATACCGCCAAGAGAGCATCTTCTGTAAAAACAGCAAAGGTGGCACATAAGCTGACCACTGCTGTAATTGGTTGATGTAAAGATTGTGTCATTGTCACTTAAGGGTTATGCAGGGTTATGCAGATGAAATTATTCAGCTTTGCTGTTTATTTAAATAAACATTTTAGATCAGGTTTTAAATTTATTTAATAAACAAATTGTTAAATAGCTATTTAGATCAGGTTAAAATTTCAAAGAGGCCCCCATGTAAAAGGAGAGCAGCACTAAAAGCAGAAGCACATAAACACCATCACGTCAGCAATGTGACACCTTCCTGTTTCAGAACTCCGTGTGGAGCCAGCCTTCCTTGTCCTGTGTAGTTGCTCATCACAGACACTAAGTTCCCTTCACTAGCACATCTGGAAGATACAGCAGGATGAAAGCTGCTCAAGTCCTGCTCATCCACAAGAAACCCATTTTTGTCACTTTTAAAAATATACCAAGCAAAACTGGGTGGTGGAAACATAGGTGCTTCTCTTTCCTCATCATCTTAACCTCTTGTTCACTTTCCAAAGACTTGAACCACTCATGTGAGTGTTCCCAGTTTTTCTTGATCTGGCTTAGGAAGCTATCCTCACTAACAAGGGAACATAAAGAGGTATTCTACACTCTTGCCCAATAACTTAACAAATAGTTCAAAAGTCATATTTTTACATGCAATCTCTTAGTGTTATATAGGGCCCCATTACCTTGAATTCTCATGGAGTGAACAATGCACATGCAGTTGATCCAATCAGGAGACTGAGATGACGTGAAGGTGTGAACAAGAGCCAAGGTTTTGGCGTCAATTATAACAATGTCTTGATATTCTCCACAGCACAGAAGCCAGCCTTCTCCTGTCATCCGGAAGGAGCAGTGGTAATACTATGCAAATGGAATTGAAGCAAAAAATTAATTATCACTGGCAATTAACATAATTTTGGCTGTGGTGAAAACTATGAATTTAAATTTTGTCATCTATTCAATTAAGGTATTGGTATGAATAGCGACTAAATTTTCTTTTAGTTAAGTTTTGCCGTACTTCTAAAGTGGTGGATTTTGCACTTTAGCCTCACTTGTATTTCATAATTTTTTTTAGAGAAAGGGGACTCACTCGTGAAGAAGGAGTTTTATTCTGAACACCAGGTTCTTTATTCTAGCAACCTCGCTATATGTTAAGAAGAAATAAACGTGTTTGAAGAGTATTTGAGGAATTCTGGTGCTGAATAAGTTTTGAGAATGGCTTTCATTAAAGATGAAGTAATACAGTCTACCCTTGAAACTCTCTCCCTGCACAGGGTCTGGGCCCCAGAAGATAGTCTGTGTGTGTCACAGTGCAAGTCAGCAATGCTAAAAGCAACAACTGCAACATGAAAAACTGTCAGCACCACTGTAATCCTGCGGCTACCGTACATATATGCTGGGAGTCCATCTAGCAAAGGCCAAAATTGGTTTTAAATTTTGGGAAATTATTACAAAGATTATAACTATGCCTCTTGATCTCTTCATGAATAACTCAGAAAATGAGAATCTATCCACCCCCAAAATATTAAAATTGGAGACAAGGAAAAAAACACATTTTTTAATGAAAAATAACACATCACTAAAATGGGATCTTTCTGTGTTTGTGTCTGTATCTCTGTGTGTGTTTTTTGTGAGTGTACCTAAGGAAAAATAAGAAAATCATCTTTCAAATGTACCTATATTGAAATCTACAAAAATACAAGAATTAGGAAAAATGGCTGAATAATAGCTTTGGGGGAAGAAAAACATCAAAATAAAAGATAACTGACCATATTATACTCCAATGACAAAATAAAACATTCAAGGAAAGAGTATCCTCGAAAGACATTTCTTCAAATGTGTGCACAGCAATGCCCTGAAGGGATTGCAGAACCCAGCAACGTTCGGAAGGAAAGGGCCATACTTACACAGATTGCAGTGTGTCTGTAAGGAAGTCTGGCCTTCTCCACGCACTGTCCGTTGGTGACATTCCAAACACACATCTCCCTAGCAGAGATAACATCATATTATTCTCTGTCATTTCCACTCAATTGGCTGGAATAATTTTTGTGCCACCAAGTTTTTCTTTAGTCCCGCACTTAAAAGCAGCCTGATTGTTTATGTGACTTTTTGTTACAGATTACTGGGCAAGGAAATGTTGTGGTCATTAGCAGGGATGACACACTGTATCTGTGTCTCTTTTTTTGTGGGTAATTATACTTGCAGCCAGCATACAAATCTTACCCTAGTGTCAACCTGACCTACAACACATACAGCTATCGCAGCCTGTTAGTGACAGTGCAACACTCCCTCCGTGGAAGCTGCATCCTCTTGAAAATGGTTTATTTCACTGAACTTAAACTACGTATTCTGAAAAGCATAATGCATCAAGTGCTGTGTTTTGTGGAGCTGAGGTAGCACTTCTATAAAAATAAACAGTGCCACCAAGAGGCCACGTTTGGTCTATTAATGATGGGATTTGTTTCTTTCCTTCTAAAATCCTGAAATGAGCCTTGCCACTTAATGTTTAAAAAATTCTCATTATTTAGAAAACTCTTACATGGTTACCTATATATTACAAAGAGATAGACACAGTTATGAAATAATAGCTGCAAAATAGGTCTAGGGAAAGCAATTTGAATCTCTATGATTTCTGTTCACAAAAACCAGAATGGCTGTTTCAGAATTAGTGGGTAAAATATTCTTCAATTTTAACAGTTTCAAAACATAAACAAAATCTCCCATGGACAAAATGAAAGTTTTATTGGCTTTCAGGGAGAAGCTGCTATTAAGAAAATAAGATGTGGACTAATATTTTTAATTGCATTTAGTAATTTGTAGGCTTGTATGTTTTTGTTTTTGTTTTTGTTTTTGTTTTTGTTTTTGTTTTTCTAGCCAAACACCAGGACTCAATCTTTGAATCAACAATTTTCAACCTGGGCTATTTTGCCCCACAAAGGATGTTTGACAATGTTTAGAGATATTTCAACCTGAAATATCTCTAAATTTCAGGGACCAGCCACAATTTAGGGACACACTACTGGCATCTAGTGGAGAAAGACGAGTGATGCTGCTAAACACCTATAATGCATAGGATGGTCCCCACAACAAAGAATTCTTCAGTGGTCCAAATGTCATTAGTACTGAGGTGGACCAACCATGTTCTAGAAACAGAATATTCATGTTTTTTTTCTTTGTGTTGATATCAAACCTTATTCTAAAAATAACTTGAGGCATGTAACTCATAATTGGAAAAAAATCTGTGTGTGTCTGAAATATAAGACTGAAAGAATGGTAGAATCTGAAATAATGTATCTCGTAGGTAAAGAAATATATGTCAAAGGTAAAAAAAGTCAAATCATAAGCAGTCATCAATATAAAATATTATCTCTATAAGGAATTAGAGTTCATCAGCATGGTTCTCAATTTATCTGTGTATCAACAGCCACCTGGAAATGTTTTTTATTTTTATTTTTAAAAATATATTTTTATTGGTTATCCTATTACAGTTGTCCCATTCCCCCCTTTTATTCCCCTTCACCCTGCACACCACCTCCCACCCACATTCCCCCCCTTTAGTTCATGTCCATGGGTCATACATATAAGTTCTTTGGCTTCTCCATTTCCTATACTGTTCTTAATTTCCCCCTGTATATTTTCTATCTACCATTTATGCTACTTATTCCCTGTAACTTTTCCCCTTACGTCCCCCTCTCACTCCCCCATGTGATCTCCATTTCTGTGATTCTGTTCCTGTTCTACTTGTTTGCTTGGTTTGTTTTAGGTTCAGTTGTTAATAGTTGTGAATGTATTGTCATTTTACTGTTCATATTTTCAATCTTCTTTTTCTCTTTTTTTTCTCCCTTTAACATTTCACATAATAAGGGCTTGGTGAAGGTGACCATTAACTTGACGTTATCTGGGAAGCACTTTATCTGCCCTCCCATCCTAAGTGAAAGCTTTGCTGGGTAGAGTAATCTTGGATGTAGGTCCTTGCCTTTCATGACTTTGAATAATTCTTTCCAGCCCCTTCTTGCCTGCAAGGTTTCTTTTGAAAAATCAGCTGATAGTCTTATGGGAACTTTTTTGTAGGGAACTGTCTCCTTTTCTCTTGCTGCTTCCAAGATTCTCTCCTTATCTTTAATCTTGGGTAATGTAATTATAATGTGTCTTGGTGTGTGCTTCCTTGGGTCCAACTTCTGGGGATTCTCTGAGCTTCCTGGGCTTCCTGGAAGTCTGCTTCCTTTTTCAGATTGGGGAAGTTCTCCTTCATTATTCAAATAAGTTTTCAATTTCTTGCTCTTCCTCTTCTCCTTCCAGCACCCTTATGATTTGGATATTGGAACATTTAAAGTTGTCCTGGAGGTTCCTAAGCCTCTCCTCATTTGTTTGAATTCTTATTTCTTCGTTCTGTTCTGGCTGACTGTTTGTTTCTTCCTTCTGGTCCAAATGGTTGATTTGAGTCCCCGTTTCCTTCACATCACTGTTGGTTCCCTGTACATTTTCCTTTACTTCACTCTTCATAGCCTTCATTTTTTCCCTCTGTTTTACGACCATACTCAAGCATTTCTGTGAGCATCTTCATGACCAGTGTTTTGAACTGTGCATCTGATAAGTTGGCTATCTCTTCGTTGCTTAGTTATATTTTTTCTGGAGCTTTGATCTGTTCTTTCATTTGGGCCATATTATCTTTTCTTTTTTTTTCTTGTCTCAGGAGCCTGTTACATAGTAAGTGGCAGAGCCTTAGGTGTTCACCAGGATGGGGCAGCTCAAGTCACTGTGGGAACAAAGCCACTTGTTTTGCTCTCTGCCAGATTGCAGTCACTTCCGCTGCTATCTACAAGCACTTTGGGCCCTTCCGTGCTCATTTCCTGGTGGGTGGTTTTTTGTACATTCTAGGATCCTGTGGGTCTCTCCAACAAACTCTCCTGTGAGGCTGGGCATTTCTCCCACCGCCTCAACACCCACAGATGTTTTCAATCAGAGGTTTGAGGCTTTGTTTCCCCATGCTGAAACCCTGGGTTGTGCAGTCTGTCTCACTCCCTAGTTGTTCCTCCCAGTTTATCTACACACAAATGTTGGACCACCCAGTCTGCAATCCACTGCCTTGCTGCGAGCCCTCACTGCTTGACTGCCCATCCCTGCCCCTCCTACCAGTCTGTATGAATGTTTCTTCTTTAAATATTTGGTTGTTAAACTTCCATGCAGTTCAATTTTCTGTCAGTTCTGGTTGTGTTTTGTTTTTAAATTTGTTGTTGTCCTTCTCTTGGTTGTGTGAGGAGACAGTGTATGTTTACCTACACCTCCATCTTGGCCCTGGGAATATTTTTTAAAAATACCCTCTGAGATTCTAATTTCATAGCCCCATGTTGGGATCCTGGCACGTGGAATTTTGAAAAGCTCCTGGTTAGTTAACCTGTTTTTAGGTTTCTATCTCCAAACTAGTGGTTCTAAACTCAGGCTGTATAGTAGAATTATCAGGGAGCTTTTAAAAAATACTAATATCTGGGACCCAACCCAGATATCAAGCCAGACTTAATTATGTTTTCCATGGTTGAAGCCTGGGCATCAGTAAATGCTCCACCAGTGATACTAATGTTTCTGGACTCTCTACTCCAAACATGTCTCTGAACCAGCAGCTCGGGCATTGTCCAGGAATGTGTTACAAAGCACAAGTTCTTGAACTTCAGCCCAGACCTAAGGAACCCATTCCTCCAGGAGTGGGGCCCAGAAATTTGTATCTAAACAAACTTTGCAGGTATTCTGATGCAAACTCTGGTTTGAGAAGCACTTTCCAACAAGCCTCCAGGATTGGGTGCCAGCTTATCTCTTTAGTCTCATTACTTGCTGGTGATTAAAAGTTTTATTAATATGTACAAACCATCTCCATTAATGCCAGGACTTTTTGCCTCAAAGTTTTATTAACTATATGTATTTATTGATGTGAAATATTAATATAGCTATATCGATTTTATTTTGGTTAGTATTTATCTGATAAATCTTTTTCCATCCACTTACTTTTAACTTTTCCATGTCCTTATGCTGTTTCTTTCTTTTAAAAAATGATATGCTAAAAAAATGATATGCTGTTTCTTCTTTAAAAGTATCTGCCAATTTGTATAATTTAACCGAAAGACTTAGTGCCTTTATGTAATTTAGATTGCTGTTCTATTTGGAGTTATTTCAACATTGTTCATTTTTAAAGTTGAAAGCTATACATTCTATTTATTTTGCTTTTATTTCTTTTGTCTATTCTTTTAGTAATTAATCTGGAAATGCCACCATGGACATCTGGCTTAAAGTCTAAAGTTAATCAGCATCTTTACCTACCTCCAAAATGCCAGAACACGTGGGAGCTCATCAGTACACTATTATGTGCAATTTTGAGTTAGGGTTGTGTGGGGGTGGGGTGAGGAGTATATATAATATTGTGTCTTATAATCAGTATCTATTTAATTTTTAAAATATTTGCTGTCTTTTTCATTATTCTTCTCCCAGCTCAGATTTCCCTTCTGAAATCACTGTCCTCACTGAAAAATATAATTAGAGTTTTGTTACTTATAGAGAGTCTGTTGGCGATAGTTGAAAGTGTTATTAATATTTGATTTAAATGTTACTGTTCTGTCCTCAGATTTTGAAGATATTTTGGTGAGAGATATACTTCTATGTTGATGGCTATTTTCTCTCAATTGTTTAAAGATACTTCACTGCTATCTAGTGTTATTTTACTGTTGAGAAGTCAGCTCTCAGTTTAGTTAACATTCCTTTGTAAACAATGCCTTTTCATTCTGTCTCCAAGCATTTATTTCCTTTCATTTACCCTAGAACTCACTGGGATTCTTGAACCTTAGAATTCATGCCCACACGTGGTGTGGTACCTTGGGGGAAAAAAGAGAAAAACTGAGTCATGAGGCAACTCTGATCCCCCTCTGATCATCTTGGAGGCAGAAAGGCCCCGTCCCCAGCCACTTGCTGGGACTTCTGAAAACTAAAAACAAACAAACAAAAAAACACCCAACATTGCTGTTTGGGTAATAATAGTCCAAGTCTAGTAATTTTAATAACTTTCAGCATATTGAATTAGATGCTAAGTATGCAGTAGCTCTAAGAAATATATTATAGATGCAGGGTAAGTTTTGGACATCAAACAAACAGAGTTCTAGAAAATTCAAGTCATATAGGAAAAGGAAGACCAAACCAGACTCTTTGGCTGTGTAACAATCATATTTACAGGATTCATACAGTTGAATTCATCAATCATCAATAATCTGTTCATTAACCCTAAATTTTTTTTTGGAGCTAGAAGACTATGGGCAAAAAACTCCATCTGGAACTCAGTTACTTTTCAGATCTATTTCTCACTGAGCTGTTACTTTTCTCAGTTCTCCAAGTAGTCTCAGAAAAAGTCCACCACCACTCCCCAAGTTCTCAAGAATGTGAACGAATATCCCAGCATGGGTAGCAGGCTTTGTGGCAGCACTATTGTACAGGAGCTACCAGCAACCATTAAAAGAGAATGCACTGGGCCATTCCACGTTAGCTTTATTCAAAATGCAGTCTAAGTATAACAATTAGAGGAATAACTACTTCTCTGGTATAAACTATGGGAATAAGTACTTCTTTGATATCAGTTCCACTAGCCATTTTGTTATAAACTATATAGTTTCTCCAAGTTGGATACTTGATTCCTCATTCTTTTGGTTCTCAGAATTTAAAGCCATATAATTTCTCCTCTCGCTAAAGACAAGAAAAGGAGGGGTTCTCTTGTTTCAACCTGTAACCCTATCCCTCATTCACAAACCCATGCTAAATCAGTTTTGCATTCTTGAGTATACTTTGGCAAATAACTCACAAGCGGAATCTAGTTCCTGGTAGCTCTTCCATCCATGGGGCCTTTTCCTACAGCTGAGTCCTACTTCATTGAAACAAACCTCACTTTGAAACAGAGCCCAAATTACTGTCTATGTTCCTTTCCCTTCTCTTTCCCTCAACTCCACTTACAATTGAATCCTTTCCTCTGTTCACTTTATAATGATTTCAGACAAGTGTACAATGTGAAGATCGTAACTGTTTTACAAAACTACGAAGGCATGGATGGTTTTGCTTAAGAGCTCAAAGTGAATTGCTATGTGCAAAAAAGACAAGTACCCAGACTTTTCCATTTTCAATTCTAAAATAGGTGCTATTTACACAGTGAGGCTGCCAGAAAGCCTGATACACACATTGGGATGTTTAAATATTGGGAGTCATAGTACAGATTACATTCTTTGGGACCATCACATAAATTACTCAGCCATTCAAAATCTAAACTTTTCTAAATGTAAAAGGAACACAGTAATCACTAAGATTCCTCCAGCCCTAGAATTCTATACCCCATCAGCTGTTAAGACTGGAGAGGAAATAGAGATGGATGCAGAGTTCCACGCATCATACCTACCCATTTTCAGCAGCACTAACAACATAGGGTTGTTTAGAGAAGTCCCTCGCTCTGGCCAAACACGTTACTGAAGCTGAATGACCAAACAGAATTTCTTTTGCTGAAATCTGAAAATGATAAGGGTAAGCTTTTAAACAGCTGTAAACTTTTTGGTTGAGAATATAAACATGACATTACATATATATTCGTAATTCTGCTAAGTAAATCCTGTTATAGTATGTTTTGCTATACATAGTCAGGAAAACTGATACGTGGCATATCAAAATCGACAAAACTTCTAAATAAGATACTTTGCTGCACGAATCATTTTGTTTGTTTTTGGTTTTGTATCCATCACAAAACTCAGAAGATTGCCAGACTGGTTCTACAACATCTAGGTTTTGAATACAAATAAGCCAGTGTTGATGTTTATTATGCACCAAATGTGCCTCAAATGATAGTAGAATATTAATATGCAAATTTCAGAATTCAGAAATGAGTTTACAAAACATAAACAAAAGATAACCCTTTTTGTAACCATTATAATACCTTATTTGACTTTTTGCTTCAGAAATACTTTACTTTTCTATGTTAAAAATAAAATTGCAACTGAGCTATTATTTAAAATGCCAGTATTTTCTCCAATCTGTGAATTTAACAATAGGGCACTAAGGACTAATCCTTCAATTATTTCATGTGTAAAAAAGTCTATTTCTCACTATTTTGTAAAACATGATTATAAAAATTATACCATAAAATGGAAAACATACCAGATCCCCTAAAATGGAGAAGGGTTTGCCATTAAGGGACTAAAAATCTAATTTACATAACTAGAAAATTTGTAGTTAATACAACTTGTTTCATGAGTAATAAAAATCTAATTTCTAAATGAGTTAATATTCATTATGTTTTTTTCTGAACTATGCAAACATAGGTGTATGCAGGTGATAACCCAACCATATCAATGAAAACAAGTTTTTTCATAGCATAATTGTTCCCTGCCTTCATCTTATTTCTGTCATAGCCAGAAATACTTCTTTAAAAAGCCTGTTATCAGACTAAACTTCCAGTGCTATAAGGAGGGTTTGTGGTTGGTTAGAATCCCTTACAACCCAAGTTCTGACTCCCTACCTTATTCCTGGGAAATTCAGAAGGTTCCATCTCAGAACAACATAATGTTTCCCCATCACCACACTTGGGAAAGCACACCCCTAGGAATTTGATCCCATTTCCAGCATATTGCAGGCTAAATTAAACAATGAATTGGGGCACATCAAGGACATTGCCTCCTCCAGAGAAAATCCACCAGGGACAAAACATCAGAACAGAACACCACTACTTTTGATATTGTACTCAACTCATTCTGCTATGAAATCCCCACATGTAGTTGAGTAAGCTGTGACAATTCACTAGTCTCCTAATTTTATCATATTTTAGGACTGCTGTGAAGAATAATAAAAAAAATTCTACAATCACACCAAGTCATTTTCATGATGAAAGCCAGGAGACCTTTCCTTGTATTCATTGGCTCTACCTCTATGAAGCACTGTCCCCCCATACCCAGACCCCCACCAGGTACTCCAATGGCGCAAATGAGAAAGGAAAAAGAACACATGGGTTGACTAGCATCTACCGAGTTCCAGGCACTGGTGCAACTATGAAAAGTGTTTAATCCCCTTTTTAAAGGTGATACAATTGAAGTTCAAAGAATATAAGTCGTTTGTCCAATAATACAGAGTTGGTAAGTATGAGCTAGAACTTCACTCAGATAGCTCTATTCTTTCTACGCAACATTGACAGTCTTCTTTTGTTGTTACGTTTCCTTGTGATTATTAAACATAAAGAAAATACAACATTCCAATCCTAAGGGAATATATTTCAGAGGATGTTCAACTCATCTTTTTTGTTATTTATTTTTTTAATATTTTAAAAAGATTTTATTTATTTATTTTTAGAGAGGGGAAGGGAGGGAGGAGGAGAGAGAGAGAGACATCAATGTGTGGTTGCCTCTGGTGTGCCCCCTACCGGGAGCCTGGCCTGCAACCCAGGCATGTGCCCTGATTGGAAACCCAACCAGTGACCCTTTGGTTCACAGACCAGCACTCAATCCACTGAGCTCCACCAGCCAGGGCTCTTTTTATTCTTAAAGTTATAATAAATACTAGCAATCAATACCAGGAAACTCAAGTGAGCAAGTTTTTAACATGATACTTGGAGAGGCTTCTCATGAGTATACAAAAGTTCCAGGGAAATTAGAAGTCTCTGTGAGTCAGGCCCTGAGCCTGGAAGTAGCAGGCATAATCTAGGCATACGATGAGAACCCAGGACAGGGAGACTTAGTGTCCTGCTCCTGAGTATCCTGCCATCTACCACCACCCATAGACAAAGGAAAGACTGATGAATATCTGGATACTCCAAGATATCCAGAACTTAAATCACCTTCTTTCCCTCCCTATTCCCACACTCTATTCCTTATACAATATCATTATCCCCCCAATCCCACCCATCACCTAAACCGCAAACCTGAAACCTTTCCTTGACTGTTCCTGCTCCTTTACCCCACATCCAACTGTTGCTCATTTCTGTCTATTCTCTGTTCTTGATAGATTTCCAGGTTTCATCTCCTCTTCTTTCCCATTGCCACTGATTTGGTTCATGCTCAAAACCTTCCATGACTATAGTGCTATAGAACCCTGCTACCCATAATGCCTTCCCTTATCTTATCTCCCCCTCCCTTCAATATTCCCTTCACATTAATACTCAGTGTATTCTAAATCACAGATAGAATAATGTAGTATTATATCATCTCCTTGCATAAAACATCCTCAAATCCCTTAACAGCACCACTTTTAATTAAGACATAGTGTTAGCTCTTGCTAATTAAAAAAAATCTAAACCCCCTCAGTGTATCAAATTCTAGATTGAGTCTGCTCCATCCCCTACAGCCCTCACAGACATGCCTATCACTCTTTGTTCCAGGCCTGCTCAATTACTCTTACCAGTTCCCAAGAAGCAAAATATTCATGCTTTTTATATGCACTTATTCTGTCTACATTCTCCTCCTATCTTTTTTCCTATTCAAATCCTGTGCATCATAAAACTCCATTCAAACATCACCCTCAGAAAAACTTTTCCTCCAAAACCACAGTGAGATGCACTTTGCACTGATTAGGCTGGCCATTAAAAAACAAACAAAAAAGAAAATAACAAGTGTTGGTGAGGATATTAAGAAATTGGAAACTTTGCACACTGCTGGTGGGGAATGTAAAATGTAAACTTCTATGTAAACCAGTTTGGCAACTCCTCAAAAAATTGAACATAGAACTACCATATGACCCAGAAAACCTACCTCTGACTATATACCCCAAAGAAGTGAAGGCAGCAACTTAAACAGATTGTTGTATCCCCAGATGCATAGCAGCGTTATTCACATTAGTCAAAAGGGAGAAGCAAGCCAAGTGTTCATTGATGAGTGAATGAAGAAACAAAATGTGGCCTATACAAACAATGGAATATTTTTTAGCCTTAGGTGTGAAGGACACTCTGACACATGCTACTGCATGGATGGAACCTAAGAACATTATGTCAAGTGTAATAAGCCAGTCACAAAGGATAAATATTGTATGATTTCACTTAAAAGATATATGTAGTAGTATTCATAGAAACAGACAGTAAAGCCTACTGCTTTACAAATTCCTATTAACAAGTCTGTCTTCTACATGAGACTCAGCAAAAGTTGAAGGAGGGATCTGTGCCTAGAACAACAACAAAAACATCTGCTTAAGTAAGTGTCCTTGGTTTGTTTTTCCACTTGTATGGTGGCAAGTGAGTGTTCTTACCTAAATTGTGTTGGAGAGGGGAAAGTCTTTCCCTAATTTAGTACAAAGAGAAAATAAATGGCTCCAGGATCACTTTACTCCCCTCCCCCACAATTTCCTTCTCTCTTACCTGTTGTCTTCACCCCAATAGGTCCTAAGGCCTCCAGCTGTCCTATAGCCACTCAGTCGCCCACATATTTATGTTTCCTCTTCCAGTCCCCCATGTCCTTAAGGCCTCCCTTCTCCTTCCCCTGCCCAAATTATGCCTTCATATATACATTTTTCAAACAAAAATCAAGTTCAACTGCTATGTATTAAAATATCAGTGATGGACCACTCACTTCACTGCCTTAAAGATAGCAACAGGATTTGTTGAGAAGTCAAAAATGCCCTTTTTGAACAGCCTAGAGTTTTCCCTGATAATAGTTAATCCATTGTCATGTAAGGCTGAAATTCATGGGAAAAAATAAGAGATGTTCATTCTTTCTGAGCCTGTAGTTAGCACAGAAAATCTCACATTCATACTAATTAGTATTGTATTTGTGTTATTAACTTTTTCATCATGTCCTCACAGTAAATTTCTAAAACACAAAGCTGCTCCAACCCCCAACTTAAATCTTCTTACTGGTTCTCTTTACTTCTTCTCCCCCTGCTGATCAGATGCCTATTCCCTCTAACACTCTGTAACCATGGATTTCTCAATATTAACACTATTGGCATGTTGGATGGAATAATCCTTCATTGTAAGGAGCTGTCATAATGGGTCGTCATGTGCGTTGTAGGATGTTTATAGCATCCCTGGTCTCTACCCACTTGATGCCACAAAGAAGTGTCTGCCAACATTACCAAATGCCTTTGAGGGTGGGGGGGGCAAAATCAGTTTCTGTTAAGAACCATTGGTCTACCCCAGGCAAAATACTTGCTCCTAAGAAAAGCATGGCATAATGTCTCCCACTGAAGATGCAGTGCTGACCTCTTCCTACTAGGAATACCTTGTATTATAATATAACTGCATCATATTAGCCTACTATAACCTCTGAGCAGGCAGCACCAGGTCTCATTATTCATGTATGAACTCAGATACCCAGCATACTGCTTAACTTATAATATCTACTTGATAAATGCATGTTGAATAAATACCAGGAATATACCTAAAAAGATAGAGAAGTGAGGAATCAAATTTTCTTAAGCTATAGCAACCTACATATTCTGGCTGGAAAACATTACATTTCAACATTAAAAAGAATAGAAAGATATTTTTAGTCATTTAGGGGTCTGGTTTATATTATAAGAGATAATAAGTATGAGAGCCATCATTGTCAAAGCTCATCTGTTGAAATAATACCGGTTCCTCCTTTCAGGAATGTTCATAAGCATTGAGCTGAGCTGCTCTGCTCTGCAGTTCTTGGCAGTCCTGCAGTGCAATTGTTCAGTGATGGGAGATGTTAATTAATTACACTATAAACTAGAATTACAATTAATTGTTAATTTAGGTTTTAAAGTGACAAACTTTAAAGGCTAAAAATAGTCTTTGATCTTTAAAAGGCTTCTTAATGAGGGCAGTATACTTTAAGTACATCATTAGTCTGAATGTTCAAATTGGGTCTACAGGCTGCTAGAGCTAAGCAAATATCTATTCCAATATGTTAAATGTTTATGACTCGGGACAGGGACAATTAATTGCTAATCAATGGGCCAAATCCTAGATGAGGTCAGGTTCTGAAATAGGAGGATGACAATAGTAAATTGGATTTAGGGTTTAGTGATGCAATCTGTAAAAATCACTGGCAAGCAGAGACTAAAAAAATAGCAAGAAGGCCAACTGACAGAAACACCCAGATAATTAAAATATTACTCATTTAGTTAATAGTGGTTTGCCAGGGTGCCCTTTGTTTAGATTAATGAGCCATAATTTTTAGAATTATACTTACATGTCTGTAGTTCAGTTACTTAAACATATAATTCAGGATATAAAATAGTGAAATTCAGCATAGCTTAAAGGGCGATAACAGGTAGTAGCTAAGATTAGCAATACTGATAATATAATTTTCCAATATGGTCTTGATCTACCATGTAACACTTCATTCTCTCCAAATCCAGAAGTAAAACCAATTTATGACTTCAGTAAGCATCTCCCTAACAATCCAGCAAACTTTCCACTGTCATTGCAGATGGAAGAAGCAAACTATGCCTATTTTGTGTGTTGTTTGTTTCAATACAATAGTTTTCACTTACCTTTAGTTCAGGTGAGAGACTCCAGAGACAGAGCTGACCCTCTTGACTTCCAGTCACAATTGTTGCCTGGTCATCAGTGATCATGATGGCAGTGATGCTGTGGGAGGGGGCCTTCTTTCCCCAGAGCACGACTGCCTGCAGGGAGGACCTCATGTTGAGAGAATCCTGGAAGCACAGACAAGGGAAGAAGTGTACACAGTAGTCATTCTTAGAGTTGGGGAAACTGATCATATATCAGAGTGGATTTACGATGACACAAATTTGAACATGTTCTACCAGAGTCTTCCATTAGAGGGAAAGGTAGTCATAAGAGACTACTTAGTGTTAATTTGTCAAAGAGGAATGACCTCTATTCCAGTTCTTGATCACTGATCCTGATGAAGAGAAGGATAGAAATAGTCTACCCGCTTCACACCCAGCTTTGACTTGGGGTGATCCTCACTCTCCAGAGCCCAGCTAGCCCTCTCAAGAATAGAGCTGTCTACATACTACAATTTGAAGACAGCTTTGCAGACTCCCTCTCCCCAGAAATGTCACCTCACTTAAATAAAAACATCTTAAATTCTTTATTAAAAAGTAAATCTTTTCCATAAAATTAGTTATTCCTGGGCTTCAAAGATTGATGCATGGCTGTCATGATTTCTGTCATATTCATGTTCCATCTATACTACATATGACCCATGTACCACCCAAAATATTCAGCTAGTGATACACAAACTACATTTTGTGAAACAGTGAGTTAAAAGTCCCCCCATAGGCATTCTTTTCAGAAATACAAATAATTTGGGAATAAATAATGCTTTATGTCCTCAGAATAAATTTGTAAGTTTTCTTCTCTGGCTTAGTAGTGTATATTTTACCTCAATTAAAATGTCAAAAATGAGAGAGGAGGAAGATACCAAGCTTACTTTCTATGTTTGGCTTCAGAAAGTTAAGAAAATGAAGATCTGTCCTGCAGGACTTCTGGTACTAAATCAAAACAAGAGTATCGATATAAAATGTTAATACTTGTCATGTATATTATTTAGAATGTTCAATTACACACAGATAGACACATGAGTATGCATTAATACCATGAACATAAATTCAACATAGGCAGTGCTTAACCCACAAACCAGTTGCCTTCAACATTATACTTACAGTTCAGTTATTTTGAAATCAGGAACTAGTTTCCCATGGCTCACTTCTTAGGCCAGTATACAAGTGTATGTCACCTACAAGAGAGCTGTACTATTCTTACTACAGTACCTAAGCGCCATGAAAACAACATTTTTATAGGAAATACTCTCAGTTTTGCAATTCAGTATGTCAGGACCACACATACTAATCACAGTACTAAGCTAACCAAAGAGTTCTAAGTTCTGGTTTCAATGGCATTATAATCCCAATTTGAAACTCATTCATTTCAAACACAGAGAAATAAAGCTATATATAGGAAAAGGCTGGCAGAAATTAACTTAATCAAGTAGTGGAAGTAAACAACTTCAGTAATGGTACATAGAAAAATTAATGTGTCACCCAATACGATGCAATGGGAAGAACACACATCAACTCTGTGATATCCCTACCAAAGATGTGTGACGTGAATCTCATCATGACAACATAAATTGAAGGACTCCTACAAAATAACTGGCCTGTAATCTTCAAATGTGCCAGGGTCATGAACATCAAAAAAAGAATAAGAAACTGTCCATAAAGGAGACTGAAGACTCAAGACAACTAAGTGCGATACCTGGTTCTAGATTGGATTCTTTTGCTATAATAGACTCACTGGGATAACTGGCAAAACTTGAATGAAGTCTAAGGATTGAAGGATAGTAATATTTCAAAATTAACTTTTGGATTTTGATGGACTAATTGAGATTTTGAGGGATAACATCTTTGTTCTATATACACTAAATTATTCTGAAAGATTGGGTAACAGATTGGCAACTTCCTATAAAATAGTTTTCATGAAAATAGTTCTGTGTGCTATATTTACTACTCATCTGTAAGTTTGAGACTGTTTTAAAAATACATTATTAAAAAATTAATCAGTGCACCAATTCCCAGAATGTTTGTAAGATATGAAAACTTAGATTCAAGAATCCAGTAAGCATTAAGGGAACTTAAAGTGGAAATTATGGACACCAAAGCACATCTTAGAGAAACTGTAGTATACTAAAGGCAAAACATGAATGAAATGAAATGAAACAGCCTAAAAAATAAATAAACAGCACAGTAGCATGTGTGCTTAAAGCAGATTTCTCCACAGCAAAATAATGGCCAGAAGCTATAGAAATATTCCCTGCAAAATGCTGAAGGAAGATGAATGCCAACCTAGGTTTTTAGAGTTATCTATCACTCAAAGCGAGGGCAATACAAAGACATTTTCCAACAAACAAGGCCTGAGAGAATACGCATTTAGAAATCTTGGGGAAAGAATTAGGAAAGAATGTATTTTATGAAAGATACATTAAATCAAAAAGAAAGAAAGAAAGTAGAACAAAATGGTTAGCAAGGGAATCAGTAAAGACACAAGTACATCTAAATGAGCATTTTTGTAAAATAATAAAATTAATAATGATTAGGATAATTGGGGGGTTAAAAGAGAAACTAAAATTCTAGATAAGACCGTGAAAGGAGACAATGTGGGATTTACGTTAAATCATTCTGATGTCCTGGTGTGAACAGGAAGAGAGCAGAGAGGATGTTAAACTTTATATTTTTCCAGCATAAAGTTACATGACAAGATGCTAAAAGAAAAAAAAAAACAGTGTCTACAGTGTCTAGCTTTCAAACAGTAGGGTGGTAGAATAAAAAAATAAGAAAAAGTTATCAAAACCGAGGAGAGGGCACTTTGCTGAGAACTGACCCAGTGACCTCCTGGCTTCCAGGGTTCTTTCATCAGGGCAGGAGCGAAGTCCAGGGGAGACAGCGCCTTCCGTCATCCTAGCGACATCTCCACACAACTGCCACTTGGTGAAAGCACACAGCCACAATGGAACCCAAATCTCAGAAGAGTCCAGGTACCCAAGGGGCATGCTCTCGGAAGAAAAAATCTTTTTATTGAAAATGGTGAACAATTCCCATCAACCTCATCGTGATACGGAAGATGGTTTTAGTGGGGATAACAGGTGGCATTCTGGGACAATGATTCTTAGTTTGGAAAATGCAGCAGAGGCTACTGGATTCATTTAGCTACTTTGTAAGAGCTCACCAACCTAGAAACTTGGCATTTTCTGATTTTCATAGGCCAATTTGTTCCATTTGCTTCATGTTGCATTGTTACTTGAAGATGGTACTAACAACAACCAGAGCCCAGAAAAGACCAGGGAAGATTTCCTTAATTTCATATGAAATTTCTCACTTGGAGAAACTACCTAAATTGCCATCCAGGCTTCTAATGGGGTAACTCAAAGTGTATTTATTCTCATGCTCAGATTTACAAAGTTCTTTGCAGGTGCATGATTAGAAGGCCTGAGTTTAGTATGAAATCATTTAGAAATTAAATTCTCTAATTCAACTGAAAAAATATTTTCGCTTATTTATTCAAAGCACCTATCACTAGTAAGTCACTGTACTTCATACTGCAGAGGACATACAGATTAACTATCAAGTCATTGCTGTCAGTGAGTCTATAATTTGATGGGAAGTTAAGAACACATGTGCAAGTCACTGTATTGGGAAGTTAAGATAAGCACACAGAGCCAGGCTATGCCAGAAACCAGGACACGTGCATGCAGTGCTATGAGCATTTGAGGAAGAAAACACACTCAAGTAGCTGTGGGAATCCAGGCAGGCTCAAGGGGGGAGGCATTAGCTGGACCCTAAAGGATGTGTTGGGTTTTAAAAGAGAGTGCATCTCAGCAGACAAGGACTGCATGAGCAAAAGCAAGGGGTGAGGTAAGGCGGTATGTGTTAAAAGGAGAACGTAGCTATTGGGTAGGAGAGGAGAGAGTAGAGGATGGGGCTGCAGAAATGTTGCACTGTATTGGGCCAGACTTTGGCCTGGTGTGGCCAGTAACCCCTGAAGCCTTCTGTGTGACACAAGAGTGGTGTGACCAGATTCACATTTTAATTGTTTATTTTTCAACTACAGTTTATACTCAATGTCACTTTAATAAATTCAATGATATAATATTATAATAAATACATATAGTGCTGGGTGGGTCCTGAAAAATATCAGGGGAACACACTGTAAAATATATGATTATCTAACCACTAAAAAAATTATCAATTAATAAAAGAAAAAATCACAAAAGCAAAAAGCATAGAAAATTGAAAACACAAAACCAAATGGTAAATTCACATCCAAAGCTATCAGAATTTACAATAAATAGATGAATTAATCTTAGTTAAAAACATGAAGATTCTCAATTAGAATATATCTTAGTAAAACCTATTTATAAAAAGTTTCAATACTATCAATATAGAAATGTTGAAAATAAAGGGGTAGACAGGATATGTTAGGCAAATAGTTATGAAAGCAAACTGGTGTAACATTGAAAAATAAGTAGGCTTTAAGAAAAAGCATTATTGGTGGAAAAAGATCACTATATAATAATTAAATAAATCATTCACCAGAAATGCATAATAGTTCCCAATCTCTAGGTACTCAAGAGCAGATCCTCAAAATACATAAAATACAATCTTGCATAATTACAAAGAAAAATGGATAAGCCTACTATTAAAGAGGGAGATTTCACATATCTCAGTCAGTGATAAATAGATCAAGCTGACAAAAATGAAAATATAAAACACTTGAACACAAAATTTACAATTATAATATGGATATATATATATATATTTCTTAACCCAGGTATTGAATAAAAACACATTCTGTTAAGTCATATGTATAACATTTATAAAACTGACCATGAAAAGCCTCAACAAATCCCAAAGAATTAATATCATACAGGCAACACTATCTAACCAAAATGAATAAAAATCTAAACTTATCCTCCAAAACATACAAACAAATGTTTAAAATTCTCCCTCTTAAATATTTGGAAACTAACACACACACACACACACACACACACACACACACACACTGAATGTTCTTTGAACTACTGAGAAAACAAAATGAAGTTTAGATATTATTAAGAACCCAAAGACAATGAAAACTTCACATAATAAAACTTTCCAGATGTAGGTATTGTATTAGAAAGAAAACTGTAGCT